CATAGTTGAGTTCGTTTGCCTTCAACGTGCGACTGGTGAAGGTCACTACATGGTACACACCTTCGTGTTCTTGCATCAATGCCGCTGATATGACCCACTTGTTCGCGTATAGCACGATGACAGGAGTGCGTTCCGGGTCGAAGTGCTTCAGGACCGGCGTGGCAATAATTTTCGCCTTCAGCATAGTGAAAGCGTTCTTCGCCCTCGCCCACCTATCGCGCTCGCCCCCAGTTAATTGACTATCCTCGGCCTGCGTCTCCTCTGTATTCATCTTGGCGATTTCATGGAAGTCTGCTTCCCGCAGCTCGTACAAGATCGCGGCATAGACTGCGAAGTCCTAAATGCAGCGGCTATAATAGTTCAAGCTTCCAGGGAACGACTGCATCGCTTTCAACTTAATGGGGAACGGAATGTTGGCGATTGCGTCGAGCTCCTTCGGGTTCGCTTCAAGCCCAGCTGAGGATACTTCGTGTCCTAGATACGCCACCTTGCGTCGACCTCAGTAACTCTTGGCTACGCTGATCGACAAGTTTCACTGATCACAGACGTCGAGCGGTTTGTCGACACGGTTGCACATGCTATCCCACGAGTCGCCGGTCACAAGGATGCCGTCCACATACGACCTCCACCCGAGGACCGATGGCTTAGGTTCTGGCTTCGGCTCTCCTTCCTCGAAGACGTCAACGGGGTTCGGCCTATCCTGATCGGGCTTGGTGCGCATGTGACCATACAATGCATTGTCGACGATTCATTGGTAGATCCAAGGAGCGTTCTTTAACCCGAACGGCATCCTCGTCCATTCGAACAGCCCGAACGGTGTGAAGAACGCTGACACAAACCTTGCTCGCGGGGTCATTGATACCACCCAGAAGCCACTAGCCATATCGAGGGAACAGTACCAGAGCGCCTTGTCCAAGTCTTCGAGGGGGTCGTTGATCAACGGCATAGGGTATACCATCAGCCTCGTAAGACTGTTCACTACCTGGTAGTCGATGCAGAGGCGGATGTCAACCCCGTTAACCTTGAAGATGACTACGATGGATGACGCCCAAGGTGAGGTGGAGGTAGTGATGATCTTTGCCGACAACAGTCCCTTGATGAGAATGGACAGCTTCTCGCGGAATTGTGGTGCTACCCGTCGACATCGCTGGGC